CAGGAAATTCATATTCCTACCCCCTCCTCTCCTTATCAGATTTGTCGTTTTCATCGGTATTATCACCCTCCCATCTTCCCGCTGCTCGTGCGCCTTGCTTGGTTCCGCATACCAGAGCTCATCTGAGGTGGATATCTTCCCAGCGTGTTGTTATTTGACTTGGCTGAACGTCTCAGATCCAGCCTTCACGTTCGTTGCATGGTACGATCGAGCACTTTCGCTTTTCCAATGAGTCACCCAGGTTGATCACTCCAAGATTACGTACATGCCGTTCAAAAAGAACTTGTACGTCCAGGTCGCGAGAGAGCGAGGAGGAGGTTGCGGATCATCAGTCCTCAAGTTCCGTAGCGGTCGTTTATGCAAGAAAAGGGCATTGCGAAGAGGCAGTGCTAGCCCCATTATCCGCAGGAATTGTCAGCCGTGCGGATGCATGGCGAGTGTTTACCCGACATGCCAACGTGATGTCCATACATCGCAGATGTGGTAGTACTGTTTTGCAGTATCGCATGAGGTGCAGCGCGCGTATGCTATGCCGCTCTACTTTGTCATACCGCGAAGCCATGACGTGGTATATCGCAAGCGTTTCAGTGGGACGCACGTAGTGTTACAGTTTCCGACATGTTCAGACATTTCTGCACTGCAAAGCTGACCCTGTCAAAATCATCCAGTGTAGTATGATGGCTTCCGTGGGATCGAGCGAAGCGTGATCGCGTCCTTGACGGTTCAATCGCACCGTCGGAGTATATTAATGTATAAGCCCGCGAGTGCTTGTCAGCTTTATCGTGTCAGTGATGATGGTAACGACGACGAGACACCCTTGGCGGCACCCGCGGCGACCGGCCCAATGTAGGCTGAATGCACGGGTCCACTTTTCGCAGTGCGAATTTGAATGGTTCTTGCGCTTGAGAGCTGAGCAGGGCGTACAGTGGGGGCCCATGCCAAGAAACACCCTGCTTGCCTCCAGGGTGGCCTGGGTTTCTTGGGTTTCGATGGTTTGGCTATGGAAAGCGCGACGCTCCGATACACCAAAAGTCAGTGGACGCCCTGGGGTCTCAGGGTTGGGTTTCTTGTGGAAGGTTTCTTGTGGACGCGTCTCCAGTGTAGTTCGTCGACGCCTCCCCGAGCTGGAACCTGAGACGTCCTGAGCGGGACAGCTCTTCTTCGTTGGGGAGGGGCTCCGCGTTCCTTAGTGTTTCACAGCTTGTCTCAGGTGTTCCTTATGTTTTCGATAGGAAATCGAAGTTTAACTTATGGAAAAAAGGGGCCTCGTTCCTTATTTAGGGTTCCTTATGTCAACGCCCCGACTGTATCGATGTTCCCTCCTCCCTCGCCCTGCCGCAATGTCCAGGAGCTGCCGACACAATGCCTGCACACAGTCGGGGCCCCGCAGAAGGCACGCGTTTCGTTGGGGAGGGGCTCCGTGTTCCTTGGTTTGCCTCGGGTTTCCCTAGGTTTCCCTAGGTTTCCCTGTTTTGCAGTTTGCCTCGGGTTTCCCTAGGTTTCCCACGGGACATCGAAGTGCAACTCATGGGACAGAGGGGCCTCGTTCCTTATTTAGGGTTCCTTAGGTCAACGCCCTGACTGTGTTGGCGATGTCAGCGGTGCCCCAGCGCCACCTTGCCATCTCGAGTACCTTCCTCTGATTCTTGCGATGTCCTCTCGATGGCGGTGCCGATCTTCCGTGCTCCCGGATGCAAGTAGCCGCGGCCCCCTCCAGAATCGAACATGTTTCGGATATGCGTTGCCTCCGCTCACTGTCGAGTGGGCCCATTGACCGCTGGTTCGCCTTCGCCCTGAACCCCCTCCTTCGCCCTGCGACCCCCCTCCTCACCCAGGCACTCCGCCTTCACCCCCCCATACATCCAAGACTTATGATGCTCCAACCTACTTTAGCCTTGATCACGAACAACTACCTTCGAGCCCCCCAAACAGTACCGAAACTCAAAGGTTTCCACGTGTCGGGCCCTGGGAGGCATTCGTCCGACACTGTTTCGACACCGTTTCGACATTTTTTCGGGCGCTCGGAGTTATTTCTGGGACGTGGTCTTTGAGTACGACGGGAGCAACATGGGCCAAGACGTTGTTAGTGGCGCTTCTCGGGGTTCAGGAGGAGCCTCTGGTTTTCGGGCCGCTTCCTAGGGCAACTAGGTGGGGGGGCGCCTCTTCGTGGCCGGGTCACACCATGGCCAGAAAAAAAAGCCCCTCTCGTTCCTGACTTGGCGCTGCTGCTGGCGCTTGATGACGCACAAAGACAAGGAATCGTCGATTCCCAGGGACATGTGGAAACATATGAGAAGTGGGAGGGGGGAAGACAGCAGCCCAGAAAATATAGGAACAGATGGGGGATCCGGTCACGTGTGTCTTTTTTTATGTGTGTCCCCGGGCCCCTTCATGTAGTCCCCGACGTCTCGACAGGTCAAGGAGCTGACCAACATGAAGGACCACGAGGTGGCGGACCTCCGGCGCACCCATGGGGAGATCGTCGTCAGAGGCGCGCAAGGGCGCGGCGCCGGGGCCAGGGAGGCGCTTGTTCCAGCCTCGTTCTAGCGGCTGCCGCGCCGAGAGCGCTCCAGGGGTGCCCAGATCGCCCCGAGCCGCCGCCAGAGACCCGAGTTATGACTGAAAACCGCACCTGGTCAGGGGCATCGTTTGGTGGGGATGCATCGACCCCCGGTCGCACCCTGATCCCCGATGGAAGCCTGGTAGCCCATCCCGCCTGGAAGCGTGCGGTTTCGCTACCCGGGGGCCTCGCGCCGATCTGTCGACGATGCATCGCCGATTCCAGGTCGATGCTTCCCCCCCCAGAGTCGGTCCCCCTTTCCGAGGCAGGAAATGATCCATATCCACCGCCTGGAGGGTCAGTTTTCGGAGCCTCGGCAGGCGGTGGATATGGACCTAATCGGGCCCCCGGGTGCCGAAATGTATCCATGTCCACCGCTCGCTGGGGCACCAGGGCGTCGGTTCCCAGGCGGTGGATATGGATGAATCCCCGCCTCGCACCCCCTGCTGCCTCCCGTGCCTGGGCGTGGGGGGAGGCCTCTGCGATGCCCGATGCTGGCGTCGAAGCTTGGTGTCTGTCTGTCGCGGCGGCAGGCCCGGGGAGGCGGGGCCGCAGAGCGGGCCCCTGGGGGGCGCGGGGAGGGGGGGGGGGCGTCAAGCAGTGGCGAAGCGTCCTGGCGTGCCTCTACATGGGATGTTGAAAAATATATGATTTTTAATACATGGGTAATTTACAAATAGATTAACGCATGAACTCATCATTGTTTTTAAATACTAACTCCCTGCATTTGGAATACATGATCCGCACGCGGAGCATGTATTAAACACGGCACTGTAGGCCTGCCACACCATGTTATACGAACCTTTTGTGGTTTCCACGAGATGTCGTTCGAACATTTTTGGCGGGGACTACCTCGTTTTAAGACATCGGGCTTCTGTTCTAAGATAATTGTGTGGTTCTTAGAACATGTCTGGGGTCTAAGAACATTTCGTGGTAGGCCCATAGGAATGCCGGGGCGGTCGGTTCCTGCTCAAGGGCGGCCTCGGAGAGGTGGGGGAAGGGGGAGCGCACTCTCGGGACGTGACACCGTCGGAGAGCTCGGCATCTCTCGGGCGTGTGAATTTTCCTCGGCGAGGACCATCGCGGAACATCAGCATCCCGGATCAGCCTGCGAAACGTGAGCGGACCGAAGGCGATTCATGCACGGGGAACGGACGTCCGAGCGATGGCGAGAGAACAAATCAACGGCATGAGTTGGGATGGGCATGCGTCCACTAATCGATCTCCTCCTTGACGACTCGTTTTTGATAGATACCGTGGCCCCCTGAAGGCCGCCGCCAGCATTCCCGCCGGCTGCGCCCCCAAGAACGCGACACCATCAAATGTTTGCTGATGGGCGTGGGAAGCGGTGCATGTATGATGAGTTTTTGGAGAGGCTTGCGTGCTCATGTGATTTGCACAGGTTGCTGCTCTATGCGTGTATCTAGGCCTCCTAGATGGGGTCGGAGCAGATGGGGTCGGAGGATCGCACCGCATCGCCGATGCATCGGCGATGCGGCTCGATGTGGGGCCCATCTTTTCTCCACGCCGACGTCGCCGATGCATCGCCGACACCGCCATCGCATCGCCGATGTATCGGCGATGCGGCTTTATCCTCCGACCCCATCTACTCGGACCCCATCTAGGAGGCCTCTAACGCGTGTAGAGAGGCCTCATCTAGGAGGCCTCATCTAGGAGGCCTCATCTAGGAGGCCTCATCTAGGACGCGTGTAGAGAGGCCTCCGACCCCATCTAGGAGGCCTCATCTAGGAGGCCTCATCTAGGGGGCCCATCTAGGAGGCCTCATCTACTCGGACCCCATCTAGGAGGCTTCTAACGCGTGTAGAGAGTGGCGGCCGAGCGCTTGCTTGTCGGTGGCTGTGCTTGTTCGGTGGCTGTGCGCTGGCTGCCTCTTGGGGGCCTGTGGCCCTGGCCGGGCCCTCCAGGAGGCCTCGGGGGGTCAAGGGGAGGAGGAGGAGGGGGAGCAGGAGGAGGAGGAGGAGGAGGAGGAGGAGGAGCAGGAGGAGGGGGAGGGGGAGGAGGAGGAGGAGGAGGTAGGAGGAGGAGGAGGAGGGAGGAGGCAGGAGGAGGCGGAGCGAAGGAGGAGAAGGAGAGGAGGAGGAGGGAGCAGGAGACGGAGGAGAATACGCAGAGAAGGAATAATAAGACACATTTGAATAATACGAATGATTAATAATAATAATAGTAATTCCTAATAATAAATTACTAATACTAAAATAATACTAATAATATAATAAGAATAAATAAATAATAATAATAATAATAATAATAATAATAATAATAATAATAATCATACTAATAATAATAATATCAATAATAATACCAATAATAATAATAATCATAATAATAGTAATAATAATAATACTGTTAGTAACAAGAAGAATCATAATAACAACACTAATCATACTATTAAGAATAAGAAGAGGAGGAGGAGGGGAGG